CCCCCCACTCCAGCAACCCTCAGTTTGTTTCCTGAGATTAAGAATTCCTCATATCAGTGAGGTCATATGATACATGTCTTTTCCACAGTGAGTATTGATAGATGTAATCACTCATGAAACCACCACCATAATCAAGATAAATACATTTCCATTACCTCTGAGAGTTTTCTTGTGCCTCTTTGCAGTCTGTCCCTTATTCTACCTCTGGCCCCATTTTCTGGAATCTCGTATAATGGAATTGTACATTCATTAGTGAATGTAGTCTTTTTTGTCTGGCTTCTTTCACCTAGCATGATTATTTTGGGATTCATTCATGTTGCTCGGTGTATCAGTGATCTGTTCTTTTTTTACTGCTGAAGAGTAATTATTCTTTTAAATAATTTTAAATCCTCTTTTTCTATTCATATCCACTTATCCATTGGTAGATATTTAGGTTATTTCCAGTTTTTGGCTATTATGAATAAAGCTGCTGTAAACATTTGTGAACAAGTATTTTCATGGATGTATGTCATTATTTCTCTGGGTAAATACCTGGGTGGCTTATATGGTACGTATATGTTTAACTCTCTTAGAAGCTGCCAAACAGTTTTTCAAAGTGATTGTTCATTTTACATTCCCATCAGCACTAGAAGAGAGTACTGTTTGTTCCACATCCTTGCAAACACTTGGTATTGTCAGTCTTTTCAGTTTTAGTCATTCTAATATCATTATGGTTTTAATTAACTGTATTCCCTTCATGATCAAAGATGTTGAGCATTTTTCATGTGTTCCTTGGCTCTTAGTATATTTTCTTTTGTGAATGGTCTATTCATATCTTTCATTAAGATTTAAAAATTAGATCCATTGACCTTTAGTTCTTTTGACCTATAACTCAACCTTTAATTGTTGAATTATAAGAGTTCTTATATACACTGTATACAAGTCCCTTTGTCAGATATAAGTATTGCATAAGTTTCTCTCAGTCTGTGGCTTGCCTTTTTGTGTTCTTAATGATATTTTTCAAAGAGTAAAGTATATCATTTGGTGAAGTCCAGTTTATCAATTTCTTATTTATGTTTTATGCTTTTTTTACTTTTATTTATTATTATTATTTTTAAAAGATTTATTTTATTTATTTGAGAGAGGGAGAGTGAGCTTGAGCTGGGGGGGAGGGGTACAGAGGGAGAGGATCTCAAGCAGACTCAGCGCTGAGCACAGAGCCCTACGAGGGGCTCGATCTCACAACCCTGAGATCCTGACCTGAGCTGAAATCAGGAGCCAGCCAACTGAGCCACCCAGGCACCCCTATGTTCTTTTGACTTTTAGCTAAGAAACCTTTAGCCCACCCTAAGTCTGAAGATTTTCTCCTTTATTATTTTCTATAAGTTTTAACATTTTATCTTTTATATTTAGGACTGTAACTCATTTCATATTAATTTTAGTGTTTGATGTAAGGTGTCATTCATTTTTTCAATGATAATATCCAGTTTTTCTAGCAACATTGTTAAAAATACTTTTTTTCCCATTTGAATTGCTTTGACAACTTTTTTGAAAATTATCATTTATGTGAGTCTATTTCTAGATTCTCTATTTTTTCATTTATCTCCATATATATTCTTTTTTTGGTCATTTTCCATATATATTATTTTATTATTATCACACTATCTTGATTACACTAAATCTTCAAATCAGTTAATGTAAATTCTCTTTGTTCTTACTTTTTTTTTTCTCTGTTCTTTTCTAAAATTACTTTGGGTATTATGTGTTGTTTTAATTTTCACATGAATTTTACAGTTAGCTCCTCTATTTCTATAAAAACACATGCTGGGATGTTAATTGGGATTGTGTTAGATCTATAGATTAATTTGGAGATTGTATCTGAACACTATTAAGTCTTCCAGTCCATGAATATGGAATATCTCTCTATGTATGTATGTCTTCTTTATTCTCTTTTAGCAATGTTTTGTAGTTTTCAGGGTATAGGTCTTACACAAATTTTATTAAATTATCCCTAAGCATTTCATATTTTTGATGCTATTATAAAAAAAGTTGTCTTTACATTTCATTTTCCCATTGATTATTGCTAGTGTCTAGAAATACTATTGTTTTTCTCATATTGACTTTGTATCTTGAAAATGTTGCTAAGTTCACCTACTAATTCTAGTAATTTTATTCAAATTCTTAGGATATTCTGTGTATATTATCATGTCATCTGTAAACACAGTTTTATTAATTTTAATTCTTTCTTTCCAATTTGAAGACCTTTTTATATTCTTGCCTCATTTCACTGGTTAAAACCTCCAATACAATGGTGAATGTAAGTAATAATGAGATACAAATCAGCATGACTCTGGAGGCTTGCTTCCTTCCTCCTTTTGGTAGCTTAATAGAGAGCTCTATCAGCTGAACTGAGTCAGCTTGTGGAGAGACAGCAAGGCCTTACGCTGATATCAGCATTCCTGGCATGCACAGTTCTTTCTGGGGCCCTTGGTGTGTAGACCTTGGTCCTTGAAATACATACTTCTTACCATTGTTGCTAGACCCAGATATTCCTTGATAAATTTCTTGTTACTTAAGGAAACTAAGTGTTCCTTTCCCCCTCCAAAGCTAATTTAAAGATACGTAACATTGTGGTGGTGGGACTTGTCCTTGCTCTTGGAGGAGTTTCTAGAGAACACCCAGCTTTATAGCCAAAGGAGGCTCCTCTGCACTTGGCTATATTGTGTACAGAGGATCTCTGCCTAACCTATGCTGTGGAATAATGAAAGTTCAGTGTACACAGTGTGGTTCCTTATTTCTCTGCTTCTAAGATTTTCTCCAGTAAACACTATTTATATCTCTATCCTCTGGTGTTAGTGGCATGTGTCACCCTTGCCCAAGTATTGAGAGGGCACGTACTCGATTAATTCTTTTTCTTGTGGGGAAAACATTTAGTCTTTAATCATTGAGTATGATGTTTAATGTGAGTTTTTTATGAAATTCCCTTCGTTTCATAGTTGCAGAAAATTGTTTTTTAATTTAATTTAATTTTATTTAAAGATTTTATTTATTTATTTGACAGAGAGAGAGACAGCTAGAGAGGGAACACAAGCAGGGGGAGTGGGAGAGGGAGAAGCAGGCTTCCCGCCGAGCAGGGAGCCCGATGCGGGGCTCGATTCCAGGACCCTGGGATCATGACCTGAGCCGAAGGCAGACGCTTAACGACTGAGCCACCCAGGCGCCCCTTATTTTTTTCTTTTATATTTAATTAATTTTTTTAAAAAAAGATTTTATTTATTTATTTGACAGAGAGAGAGACAGCTAGAGAGGGAACACAAGCAGGGGGAGTGGGAGAGGGAGAAGCAGGCTTCCCGCCGAGCAGGGAGCCTGATGCGGGGCTCGATTCCAGGACCCTGGGATCATGACCTGAGCCGAAGGCAGACGCTTAACGACTGAGCCACCCAGGCGCCCCTTAATTAATTAATTTATTTAGAGAGAGCCCACTTGAGCAGGGGGGATGGGCAGAGGGAGAGGGAGAGAGAGAATCTTAAGCAGACTTGCTCAGCAGGAAATTGGGGCTCAATGCAGAGCTTGATCCCAGGACCCTAAGATCATGACCTGAGCTGAAATTAAGAGTGTGACGCTCAACTGGCTGAGCCACCCAGGCGCTCCAGAAAGTTTTTTTTTTTTTTTAATTCATTAATGAATATTGAATTTTGTCATTCACATCTGCATATGGCCCTGATCATGCATGTGGCCTTATTCTGGTAGGAGATGCTGATAGATTAGATGAGGCTGTGGTGAGGGAGAGGCAAAATCTAAGTGTGCTTAAGAAGGTAGAATTAATTTACTGCTTATTTAATACAGATAGGTACATTATCTCAAAAGAGGGCTTTTTTTGTTTTAAAATTCTTATCATGAATAATTTAACCTTTTTAACACCTATGGGAGAGATAATCCTTATTTGTTTGTTGACTTGCTTCACTTTGAACTCTGTAATGAATCTGTATTTGATTTTAAGACAGTTTATCTAGGGGTGCCTGGGTGGCTCAGTTGGTTAAGCATCCAACTCTTGAGCTCAACTCAGGTCTTGACCTCAGGGTCATGAATTCAAGCCCCACACTGGGTTCCATACTTGGCATGGAGCCTACTTAAAAAAAATAAATAAATAAAAGTAAAAAATACAATTTATCTATTTAGAAAAGAAAATTGTAGAAGGAAGTTACCATTAATTTTTTTCTAACAAATTATTCCTCCTAGTGGATATTTTGACATATGTGGTCTGGAAGCTAAGTGGCTTACCTGCAACTCGTGTAATTGGAAGTGGTTGTAATCTAGACTCTGCCCGTTTCCGTTACCTAATTGGAGAGAAATTGGGTGTCCATCCCACAAGCTGCCATGGTTGGATAATTGGAGAACATGGTGATTCTAGTGGTAAGTAGAAACCTATTATCATAATGTAATCATACTTCTTATCTCTAATCATGCTTATTTTCTTTAAAGTATATTTTTTTCTGATATTAATATAGCTACATAACTTTCATTTTGTTGGTATTGCCCTGGTGTATCTTTTTCTATTCCTGTACTTTGTCTTCTGTTCATGGATTTAGCTATCTCTCATAAAATATTGCACATAACATATAGCTGTTTTAAAAGTCAATGAGTGTTTCTCTTATCTGGAGAACTTTAACTTAGTGTGACTTTTAAACAGCAGCATTATTAAGATATAATTCACATACTCTAAAATTCATCCATTTAAAGTGTGTAATTCACTGGATTTTAGTGTAGTCAAAGAGTTGTGCAACCATTACTACAAGATAATTACAGAACATTTTCATCATCCCAAAAAGAAACTCCCATTCCTGTGCTCACACCCACCCCAGGCCCAGGCAGCCACTAACCTACTTTCTGATTTGTTTATTTCAGATTTTTCATGTAAGTAGAATTATATAATATGTGGTTTATACTATTACTTAGGCCACATGAACCTTTTTCTTTTCTGGACTTAAACATTTAATATCTGCTGTACAGTAGAACTTTCTACTTCTTACAATGTTCTCTAATTGTGTCATACATGCAAATCTTTCCATAATGTCAATAAACCCATTTTATAGGGAATAAGGACCATTTGTTCATTCATTCAATTGTTCATTAATTCAAAACATTTAATGAGCCCTTCTATTTTCCTTGTATTTCAAGGGTCATAGTATAATAAATATTTTTTAAACCATGATAAAATTTATGGTATACTTTAAAACATTTTTTCACTTAAGTATATATAACATATGCAGAAAAATTATACAGAATATAAATTTATAGCTCAATAAATCATCAAATAGTGAACACATCTGTGTAATTACCACTCTGGTAAATGCACTTTCTGCTCTGGTATGCACTTACCACTCTGGTAAAAGACACTTTCATGACCTCTCTCAATTACTGTCTTTCCTTTTCCCAAGCTAAACTTCTCATATCATAGTGTTTTACTTTTAAAAATAAATGCTTTTGATTTGATTTGGATAAATATTTGTTTCACCAGTGCCTTAATTTGAGCCTTCTTAACTCAGTCCTTCCTCCTCAAAGTCATTAAAAATAATTTTCCTAGGTATGTTTTAATGTCTCACATTTAATATTCTAGAATTTTATTTTTTATAAAGTAGTATATTCTGATTAGTATTGATTTGAATATATTTATTATTCTATTTAGTGAGATTTTCTTTTGTTTCTTTTTTCTTCTCTGCTTTCTACTGGATCATTTAAACTTTCTTTAATTTCCTCTACTACTTTGGATTATACACTCACTTTGTAAGTGGTCTGTATTCATACTTGACCTCAAAATAATTAGTGTGTTTATTCTTCTTTGGAATAATACATAGAACTTAGAATGTATTAAGTTTGATTGGCCTTGTTCTCTCACATATGTAATTACGGTTGACCCTTGAACGACATGGAGGTTAGGGGTTCCAATCCCCACAGCTGAAAATCTGTGTATAACTTTTGACTCCCCCAAAATTTAATTCTAATAGCCTACTGTTGGCTGGAAGCGTTAGTGATAACATAAACAGTTAATTCAATCAAAGTATGTTATATATATTATATGCTATTTTCTTTATAATAATACATGGTTCATCTGCAAGTTTTTTTCAAATTGTTGCACATCTCCAAAACATTTTCCAGTATACTTATTATACTTATATTAATGTATAAGTGGACTCACACAGTTCAAACCTGTGTGTTCAAGGGACAACAGTATTAACTACTTTTTTGGTTCCATTCTGTTTTCATATCCCCAAACTAATTATTACTATTTAAGTATAATACCTGTCTGGATTTGTGTACCTGTTTGCCGGTTGTATTGCTTATCTTTATTTCCTGTGTCTAACTCCTTCCCCTGGATTCAATTCTTTCTTCCTGAAGTATATCCTGTCAGTTTTGTTTATATGAAAGTGTTTTAGTTTCACCTCATTTTGAATGACAGTTTAACTGATATAAGATTTTAGGTTGACAGTTATTCCCTCTCAGCTCTTTGTTACTGTTGAGTAGTATTTGTTGCTCTTTTCCTTCTAGTTGCTTATGATAGTTAATCTTATCTTACCCTTTTCTTTGTGGATTCTGTAGTTCCATCTTGCTTTATATGCCTCCTATACCACACAATTATAAATAACTTCTACTACATATTTTTTGAAATTTTATTATGTTAGTCACCATACATTACATCATTAGTGTTTGATGTAGTGTTCCATGCTTCATTGTTTGCATATAACACCCAGTCCTCCATTTAATACGTGCCCTCCTTAATACCCCTCACCGGGCTAACCCATCTCCCCACCCCCCTCCCCTCTGAAAACCTCAGTTTGTTTCCTGGCATCCATAGTCTCTCATGGTTTGTCTTACATATTTTTCTAATACTTTATAATTTTGTTTTTTTACATTTCTTTCTTTTGTCCATTTTGAACTTATTTTTATATATGTGTAAGGTAGTAACCTAACTTTATAATATAAACCCATTGAACTCAAAGAATTGATGCAGTACTGGAAAGAAGAGTTTATTCTGAGATATATTTCTTTTAGTGCCTTTGTGGAGTGGGGTGAATGTTGCTGGTGTTGCTCTGAAGACTCTAGACCCTAAATTAGGAACTGATTCAGACAAAGACCAGTGGAAAAATATCCATAAACAAGTTGTTGAAAGGTAACAGTACTCATTCAATGTCTCAGTGCCTTAATAATCAGTCTTAAGAATTCGTTTCACAGACAAAAAGTATATGTTGATCTTTGCCTTTTGTAAGATAAATAACTCTAACCTTCTGAAAATCCCCAAATTCAGACTTATATTATGCATAGCTTTCTTCGGGGGTCATTTTTTAAAAGGAAAATCTGCTTATCATTTCACAAGAACTCATATGTGTTGGAGGGTAATATAGCATAGTGATTATGATCACGAACTTTGGAACCAGGTTGCTCTTGTTTCCCTTGCCTTTGGTGATGTGTCCAGGAAGATGTTGCTGTGGCCGAGGCTGAAGAGGTTTCTGCCTGTGTTCTCCTCAAGGATTTTGATGGATTCATGTTTCACATTTAGGTCTTTGATCCATTTTGAGTCTATTTTTGTGTGTGGTGTAAGGAAATGGTCCAGTTTCATTTTTCTGCATGTGGCTGTCCAGTTTTCCCAACACCATTTGTTGAGGAGACTGTCTTTTTTCCA